GCCTAAGCTACATTCGGAAGGCAAAGCAATGTCAAATGGGCTGAGGGGTCAAAAAGATTACTGCTAAAAGCTTCTTACTTTTTTCCTTTACTGCAGAAAAAGTGAAAAAGCTACAGACTATAGACGTCCAAAATTACTAGACAACATAAATGAGAGTTTACGTGAAAATTCATTAGAAGGTCTAAACGTCACTGCCCAAGCCAAAGCTAATTTGCCTTAATTGCGTCCTAGATACCGTACTTCATACCGTATGCGATCACGCTGATTGGTTGCGATCACTGCTCTCCAAAGGAAAGGCTGGACTTGTATTTAGGGTCGAGAATCTCGCTTACGCATATATCACACAATCGTATCGAAAAATTATTGGACGGAAGCCAACCAATTTTAGACCATGATTTGGCAAGGGCAAAGTAATCATTTCCCAAGTGAGACTCGTACAAATTTGCTCGGACACTATTCAAAGTAGATTTTGTCATAACAGGTCATATCTCTATTTTTCTCTTGTTTTTTTCTGGCCGAAAAACTATCTGATTTGAGAGCAATGATAAATTACTGGATGCACAGCAACGAGATACTGTGAAAGAGAAATTCCAGAATTCCAGAGCTAACGCGCATTGCTAGGTGGAGCCATGCGAGGTGGAACCCTTTGAGGCAACGGAAAATTCGCGCCCGCCCCCAAGAGACTCGAAATCGAGACGTTGAATATCAATAATTGTGCGAAAACAACGCGATGGATAATGTGGTTTACACTGAAGTCACAAAGGATGCAAACAAGGAAACAGCAGTGAAATGCGCTAGAAATAACAATGCACATCAACTGTGACCATTATTTATCAGCCTTCTGTTTCTGCACTGCCAAATTCGCACTTCTCGCGCGACTTTTGAGGCGAGAGTGTCTTAAGCGGATGAGAAAACCTCCTTGAATGGTGGGAGTTCATGAATTATCTGGTTTGAGCATCGAGAACGAAGCGCAAAGCTGACATTGCCACCCACGACAGCAAAAGTGAGATCTCCTGCAACGATGCGACATAATCCTGCTACTGCCAACATAGAGGGGCGTGGCCTTCCCAAATCATCTGAAGTTTACAATTGAGCGAAAATCGGAGCAAAGTGAATTCTGAACTTGCGTGCCACTTAAGCACTGAACGGCGCCATTCCCGCCCATTAATAAACGTAGAAATATATCACAAACTTGTAGAGTAAGTTAGCAGTAGGCTAGAGAGACTACGAATCACATTTGGGAATCATTGGAATGTACGGGCTGGCTCGCGTGCAGAAGATTTTATAGTTTTTGAAGGCTTTTCAACGAACACTGTTTGCTAAGACATTAGCTGGAAAAGGACACTTGGGCTTTAGCATTTTGTTTAAGCTCAAGTGTCCTCTTGTTTGTTGTGTTTTTGAACACTAAAAAGCTAAAAAGTTGCACTAAATTGAAACAGCATACATTTGAGTTACGATCTCCTCTTAGAGTTATGATTTTTGAGAAGAATGCCAAAAAGTATTTTCGCCCGCTTTGCACTGTTCTCTCCAAGTTCGTATCTTTTCACAAACTCGGTCAGCAAAAACTTTGCTCATTTTGTAGAAGGAGATGACAGAATCCAAGCTTGTGTTTTTTTGGTTTTTAGTGCAGCTTTTCAGACTGTTCGAGAGTTAGCTCAAAATGCTGAAGCTCGAATGATTTTCTCCTTCCGATATTGTGACATTGTGGACTAGAAAGCATATGGGGAGATATATTGGAAACTACTCCGATGATTGTGCAATTGACTTTTGGACAAAGCTAGTATATTTCCTTAGCAATCAGCCGATTGAAAACATATTATGGGTATTTTCTGCCGTGAATCCCATCAGTCTCTTACATCCATCATTAATCAATGTAATGGCATAGGATTTTCTCATGCATAGGTGCCGCATTTCTCAGCGGTCTCTCACATTTTCAATTGAAGCCATAAAGGATTTGTGATTAATGTGGTGATTGTGATTACAGATTACTGACAAATCATTTTTTTCATGATTTGTAAGTAACGTGTAGGCATATTGAAAAAATAACTAAGTGCTAGTGCTATGCCCTACATTTGAGAACAAATGAAGCTTGACTGGGGACATCTAGGATTCACGAGAAATGCCATTTGGCAATTGCAACATTTCTTCTATTATATCCTGAAAATGGGGAACGAGTAGGTACGCTGCGAGGCGCCGCTATGATCAGATCGGACCCAAGTTTGAATCCCCAACTAAGTCCTCTATCCTAGGGCGGTAAATAGTACCAGAGTACATTGGGAGGGTAAAAGCATTGACTTGGTAATTGCAAATCAGTGTAATAACCTCTTCGACTTTGAGTAGAGTGCGTTCGGCGCATGCCCGCAGGGGATGTTGAAGATGTTAAATCATTTATCTTTTACTATTATATTTTGAAATTGTATAAAAAATTAGGGAGAGTAAGTAAGCGACCATTGCATTTGCAACAGAAATTTATTCACGTCCTTGGAAGTTCAAGAATAGAAGGATGTTTTCATTCATTTTCTATCACAAATATGCTGAGAGATGGAAAAGACGTTTTGCTTTCAGACTGACCAAAGGTATGGGGTATAAAAACTCTCTAAAAAATTCTAAGTTTAGGTCAAATATGCCTTTTCTCCAAGATGGCACTGACTACGCTTGAAAGGAAGTGATTATTGGCAAATTTTTCGCCATGCTCACATGTAAATTATTTTACAATCTGGGAAGAATTCCATACAACTATGTACCATTGGATCTTCTCTCATTTGGTACCTGGAGCATTCTAGTTTCCGTAGCGGATATACATGCGAACATTGAAAGCTTTTTCAATATTTTCAAATGTGCTCAGAATGAAGTTGGCAAACCGCCAACAACGCTTCATGAACTCAGAACTCCTCACTAGGTATTATGTATCTGCGTCACAGGCGTTGCAAAATCTTCAGAAAACCTAAGAAAGGAAGGAGAATATTTGAAGAAGTAAGATAGAAATGGAGTCCATGCCGCTCCAAAACTAGTCTGTTGGAGCTACATGTCATGCCCAGTGAGTGAGAATCATGCTAATGGAAGTCCTTGATCATCAGTTATCTCCGATATTATCAAGCCTGGATTTTTTTCAGTAGACAGAAAAATGAGTAAGAGTATCCATGCTTTCATCCAACAATTTGATCAGTTCCGTTTAAAAAATTTTAACAATTTACATAGACATTTTGCAGAAAATTTTTTAGGGTTAGCTGCTGAGTTTCGAGTGAACAACAAATAGTAGTTCAAAGCAATGAAGAGACCAAAACTTGATCTTTTCATAATGGAACTACTAGGCTGGTCTATAAGCTTCCACCAAAATTTAACAACGAATGAAAATGGTTTTTTCTAGTTCCAGTGGATTCGTTTAACGCAATCTATCTTGAAAAAAAATCATGCGTTCTTTGATTGTGCTCCGAGCAAAGATCCGAAAATCCAACTGGTAAAAAAGGAGATGAAACAATCAAATCGTGTTTGTACATACAATGGTAGTCGCTAAATGCTAGAAGGTCCAACAAAGTCATAGGATTTTATTTTTACTTTTGATTTTGGGTTTGAATCCTATCCTTTACGAAGAGATAGGGTATGTATATAAGCAATTAAGTCAAGTTTTTAGTCGACATTTCGATTTTGAACATAACGAAATCTCTAACACGTTTTGCATAGAACATTTTTATATGTCATAAATATGTATTAGGTTGGCACTAAAGTTCTTGCGTAATTCAAAGAAAATTCAATAACTTTTCAAGGAGCAGACCTAAATTGATGGTTCTGTGTCTCAAAAATAAAGGAAAGTTTAAGCTCTATAATAGATGTTTCAGCTTAACATTCTATGAGTTAACCGCCGAGAACGAAGCTTTCAAAAATGACGATTCAAATTTGGCGATTTTGAGTTTGAAGCTAGAAAATCAAGGAGGGTCGCTAGCTGATTTGAAAAAATCTGTAAAAATTCTCTACTTACCATACGCCCATACACTGCTTTGGCAGGCGTCAATCTCATACAGAAATGTAAAAACAAAAAATTCTTGAAAAATGTCACTTTACAGGAAAAGTCTCCTTATCGCTGTAGTTTTTTCGCAGAAACACGGTTTAAAACCAGAATTCAGACATAGTGTTTATTTAGAACATAATGAAGTTTTCCGAAGCGTAAAACAGTGTTTTTGCAGGAAAAGGTGCTGTAATAAGGGACTTTTCCTGTAAAGTGACATTTTTTAAGAATTTTTTGTTTTTACATTTCTGTACGAGATTGAAGCTTGCCAAAGTGGTGTATGGGCGCATGGTAAGTAGAGAATTTTTAAGGATTTTTTTAGACTAGCTAGCGACCCTTCTTGATTTCCTAGCATCAAACTCAAAATCGCCAAATTTGAATTCAAAAATTCGTCATTTTTGAAAGCTTCGTTCTCGGGGGCCAAGTGATAGAATGTCAAGCTTAAACATCTATTATAGAGCCTAAACTTTCCTTTATTGAGACACCGAACCATCAATTTAGGTCTGCTCCTTGAAAAGTTATTGAATTTTCTTTGAATTACGCAAGAACTTTCGTGCCAACCTAATATATCGTGAATTGAAACGTTGAAACTTTCATATCAATACAACCCAAAGTCTTAAGGGTGCAAGACTTTGAAATGAACGAATACAAGTTTGCTTCACGTGTACGAAAATGAAGACTATGTGGGGAACTATAAATTGGGAGCCACTCCGAAGAGGAGAGTGATGCTCCGAAAAATTTGCCCAGATGATCAAGATATGTGAGACTTCAACATTCTACTCTAAAGTAGCTGTAACCGGGAGCGCAGTCACGGGCAGAATTCGAGACCAAGGCTTTTGTCTCGAGTGCTCGCTATGCATGCCATCGGAGCGCTCAACCCTGAGAATCGCCTTCTCGAGGTCCTCTTTCACGCCTCGACTTCCCGTCGATCACTCACCTTGCTATTCGTGCCCAATGAGGCAAATTCTCAAAAAGGAAAGTTTATACTTGAACTTACCCTGATGACGAGTCGACAACAGCAGCAATACCAGAGCAGGCAGGTAATCTGGCATCGACTCCATTCACTGCGATCGAATCACTGAAAAGACAAATTTGTAAGTTTGCTGAACAGGAGAGAGAAAGCAAGATCATAACATTTGGAAGTGGGGTGTTTCAAACTAAAAACTATGAAACTATAAACTATGAAATGGCTAGGGTAAACAGCAGGTTCAAAAATGGTGTAAATTCAAAGGCGAACAAGAGGTTATTCGTATCTTCAATTTATGTTTTCAAAAGTGAAGGCAAATTCCAAAGACCAAGTGTCGATGAAGGAGGAATGATACTGCTCATGTACCATACATAGATTTCGAAACAGAGACAAAAATTGTACATGGAGCCGTGGAGCATGAAGTGATTGTGCTGATAGATGACGCAGATCATGTTTTACGGTAGCGATGAATGTTAACTCAAAAACGATATTTTGCAAAAATTGGCATAAATCTACAGACGAGCATCGTAAAAGCAAAAGCAAAGCATAGCAAAATTAAATCCTGGGTTTTGAATGAATAGTTTGTAAGTGGGTCCTGAGCGCTTATCATCAAAGAGTTACCGTCGTTCTCAGAAGATTATTACATTGCACCCTAATTTCACACGCCTAAGGCGCACTTTTTCAAATTTTCAAGCGAGCCGCTCAGCCGCTTCACTGTATTCCTGAAAGAAATCCTTACATCGCACGATTCCCTCAAGCAATATACAGCACGCTATAGGGTCCCTTGGTTGTAAAGTTCTTTGCTTGTCTGGGCTGTTCGATTCTGGAAAAAAAATCTCCCGCGCCTTATACGCGTGAAATTAGGGTAATAAAACTGATTTCTCTGCACTATTTTTTTTATCTTGCAGATCCGACATTTTTTGAGATGATAGTCATTGTAAATTTGTTGCCTATATTCTACTTTTCCTTTACGCTCTCAAATGATAGGGAAAACATGATCAAAATTTAATCTTAGATCTAACAATGTTTTTAGTGCATATAACAATAATCAAACCATTTAAAACGCTTCAAGAATTCGAAAAAAGTTATTTAATGAAATCAGCATATCCAAAATTTTCCCACACAACTTTTCACTTTTTTTGGAACCTGCCTACTCACAATGGCGGTGTATGAAGGAAGTTCCTAGAGTAATTCTGCAGTGATGGAGAGCGATGAGTGATTCGCTCCACATTGTATAATAAAGTTGAAGCTCGCTCTTTTGTATGGCAATTGAAGCTAAGCAAAAGAATTTGTGGAAAAAGAGAGCTATTAGCGATGAAAAGTGTGTACCTACTCTTGATCACCCTGTAATGAAAAAGGTTTTTTAAAGTTTTTTTTCCAACGAATCTCGTTTTTTGATGTTTTTGTTTAACATACGTCGACTACCTTTATTTTACTTTCTTTCCTTTGTCCGCACATGAAGGGCGGTTCTCAAAAACAGTAAAAGGTAACAAAAAGAAGGTTCAAATTGCGGGACACAGCTTAACTTTTTTTATCTGCCGTTGCCTTGCTCACTGTAAATGCTGCTTGGATTTCGAAACGCCCTCATTTCTCCTCCATAATATGTGTAGAGCCATGGGCCTAGCAAAAATGGAAAAAACGTTATGTAACATGATCATTTTCTTTACTTATGCTGTTCTTCAATGAGAGGCGAAAACTGAGATACTTTTTTCCTACAGCTATGCCTTGCTTTGTTCATAGCAAAGATCTAACTCGAATTCGATTACTGCCATGCTTGGAGCATAGATAAAATCGTAATGAGATTAGCAATTAAGTTGGTCCAAGAGCAGCAAAATCTCAACTGAATCCCTTCCTTCTGACGTAAATTTCTTCTTTGAATGCTGACTTGTATTAAGAACTTGGAAGGGAAAAATAATGTAATTTTTAATGCTATCGCAACAAGGTGGATCCTAAAGATGTGTGAGAAGCACGACCTGATATAATAGTTTATTAGCAAATCCTACGATTACGATATACGTATAAATCGCAACCCGAAAAATTAAAAATCAATTTTTGAAGTAATGCACGTCAAAATTTTAGCAAAAAATCATACTCGATCAGCATTATAAGCCATATTTCAACGCAGGCATCTGCTATGGTTTTTAAGCTTGGAAATTGAGGAAAACAATGATGGTCAAACGTAATTCTGCGTTCCTTTCATATATACAGAGTGTCCCAAAAAGATGTGCACACTGTTTGATTGCTAATAACTCCCTTGCTTTCATGTCTTTTGCCGAGCCTGAGGTACCATTCTGTAGAGCGAAGATAAACTTAGATTTACAGTATGGAGCGAATCACCAATCGCTCTCCATTACTGTTGGATTACGGTATGAACTTTCAGCATACAGCGGCACCGTGGATTAGGCCTTTTGACAAAATAATTTCAAAAAAATCTGAAAATTTGTGCGGCAGGGTTTTCCGGCGTGCTGATTTCACTACATAACTTTCCACCAGTTTTTCGAGCTTTCTTGATGGCGTATTCACATTTTTGACGAACACTGGAAAATCAGTTGTCACCCTAGATCTGAAATAACTCATGAATAAAACGCTGTACTGACGTGCAATTTTCATATTTAGAATCAGCGACCTCGATTAATCCATTTCAAGGGTTTCTGGCTTGTTTGGATTTTTTCTGAGGTAAAATACCGCTTTCAATGGTTTAAAATCCTCCTCGAAGTTCCTACCGTAATCCTACAGTAATGAAGCGCTGCTGATAAGTCGCTCCATACTGTATATCTAAGTTGAACCTCGCTCTGAAGAATGGTACCTCAAGCTCGGCAAAGAACATGAAAGCAAGAGAGTTATTAACAATCAAACAGTGTGCACATCTTTTTGGGACACCCTGTATATATATATATATATATACTAGCTGGCTTACCCGGCTCCGCCGTGTCCGGACCAAACTTGGCACACATACACTTCGGGCCCCGGCGCGTGTCACAGTCCACTTTTCGTTATCGATCGATGTCGATTTTACCGATTTTTATCGATTTTTTCGCAGAGTTCACCTACAGGGCTAGGAGTTGGCACAGGGGGGAAGTGAGCATGGGGATTCCGAATACAATATTAGTTTTCAGAATTATCGGTTACTTTTATTGATTTTATCGATTTTTTGTAAATTTTGACATGCGAGGCTGGGATTTTGCACAGGGGGTAATCGAGCATGCTGATTACGAACACAATATTAGTTTTCAGGATCGTCCATTACTTTTATCGATTTTATCGATTTTTTTGTAAAGTTTGACCTGCGGGGCTGGGAGTTTGCACAGGGGGGTAATCGAGCATGCAGATTACGAATACAATATTAGTTTTTGGAATTATCCATTACTTCTATCGATTTTATCGATTTTGCAAAATTTGAGCTAGGGGGATGGAATTTGGCACAGGGGTGTAATCGAGCATGCTGATCACCCCCTTGGGGATGATCAGCATGCTCGATTACCCCCCTGTGCCAACTCCCAGCCCCCTAGCTCAAACTTTGCAAAAAATCGATAAAATCGATAAAAGTAATCGATAATCCTGAAAACCAATATTGTATTCGGAATCCCCATGCTCGATTACCCCCCTGTGCCAACTCCCAGCCCCGTAGCTCAAACTTTGCAAAAAAATCGATAAAATCGATAAAAGTAATCGATAATCCTGAAAACCAATATTGTATTCGGAATCCCCATGCTCGATTACCCCCCTGTGCCAACTCCCAGCCCCGTAGGTGAACTCAGCAAAAAAATCGATAAAAATCGATAAAATCGATGTCGATCGATGACGAAAAGTAGCCTATGACACCCGCCGGGGCCCGTAGCGTATGTGTGCCAAGTTTGGTCCGGATCGGTTCAGAAATGGAATTTTCTATTCGGAACATACGTACACACATACATACATACATACAGACAGACATACATACATACATACAAACAGACATTCAGCTTTATATATAAGATATTAGGTTGAACCGAAAGTTCTGTCCCTCCATTTTCAAAAATTCGTAACTTCGCCAGATTTCAACGGATTTGCTTGCTCGTAATTTTATTAGAAAGAATAGATCTTCCGCTTTCAAGCGCTGTTTTATGTAGCTTCTGCTTCGCACTGAGTGCCGAGATAAAGATGGAAAACTAAGACCATGTAAAGTTTGACCATTTTAAGTTAGGTCACCAAAAATCTGAAATGCTGCAGAAAAATCTGAAATCGTCAGTACATATGTTTTTTGGCCTACTCTTTGCAATTGTGAAGAGTTTGCGCTGCTTGGACGTTTCTGCGAGAAGTTATGATTTTCACGAAAATTGCCAAATTAATTAATTTTGGCGTTATCCATAGTAAACTCGATATTCATAACTTCTCACAGAGATGTCCAAACAACACAAACTTTTCACAGATGCAAAGGGTAGGCCAAAAAACATATGTACTGACGATTTCAGATTTTTCTGCAGCGTTCCAGATTTTTGGTGACCTAACTTAAAATGGTCAAAGTTTACATGGTCTTAGTTTTCCATTTTTATCTCGGCACTCAGTGTGAAACAGAAGCTCCGCAAAACAGGGCTTGAAAGCGAAAGATCTATTCTTTCTAATAAAATTACGAGCAAGCAAATCCGTTGAAATCTGGCGAAGTTACGAATTTTTGAAAATGGAGGGACAGAACTTTCGGTTCAACCTAATATATATATATTAGGTTGATTCATAATTAATGCACGTTTTGAATTTCAACCGCAGTAAGTCATACACTTTTCATTCTTATATAGGCTTCAAAGTACCATTGGATAGAGCAAAGCAAGCTCTACAAGATGGCACTCATGTCTTTGCGCCATGCTTAAACCACGGAGAGTTCGAACTCAAAATCTAAAGATTTCCAAATGCCCAAAAAATCGAAAAAAATCAGATCTTCGTCCAAATAATTTCTACGGACCTCCCACTCGCTCACATCAATACTATCGCTATCTGATATCCATATGTGCGATTGCCGTATTTTTCCCTTGACTAGAAACTGAGATAACGAAAATTTCCCTGATTTTCTCAAAGCAATGCTGAGCCGTTTTTGCATATGTAGTTCTATACTACAAGCCT